TATATTCCACAAATTTTTGTTACAATGAAATTCGTAGTACCGAAATCTCACTTTAATTTTGAACTACCTAATTATGCGTAAATTTTTATTTTTTTGCTTAACTCATTTTTATAGAAAATGGGATCCAAAATCCTAGCGGGATATATGTAAAAAAACGTTGTGAATTGTGAATTGTACAATTCAGAAATAATACAGAAAGTGAAAAGGAAGAGAAAGTGAGTGGTCACGGATCGTCTGTCTTCAGTGTTTGTCCTTTTTGCCAACCTTATCGACTCCAATGCCATCACCGTGCACACAAACACACATTCAACACAAACTCTATACCATAGCTAGTCTCCTTTAATCCAATGACTAAATATCCAGTTTAGGAACATACTTTTTCTATGCATGAAAATGTCACTTCAATTATCATGGCTGGCACAAAATATCACACACGTATGGTAGTCATTTCATTGACGTTAAATCAAATCAATATTTGCACCCAACCTACACTGTTTAATAAACCTTTTAATTAACTACACTAAAATTTATATGGTTTCCATTAACTTCATTATAGCATATCGTTAATTAGCCAGTAACTATATTCATGGTAAAAGTTACTAAGGGACATATAGAAAACAATCAAGAATATGAACAACAATTCATAACCTAAGAAATGAAGAATACAAATTTATAGAGTATTACTAAGCGGATGGTGGTTTACTGGTCTTGAGAGTAAATACTCAAGTTTAAAGTCACTAGTTCAATTTCATTTAGAATGAGTGACTTACGCTTTAAATGTGATATTATAAACGGCTAGCCTCAAACATCAGGGAGATTATGGATCTAATATTCAGAATTTTCACAATTTATATAAATAAAAAACTATAGGGTATTCCAATCCGCTACGTATTCCAATCGGCTCTCTATATTGTTTGGGGTGAACGAAACCGGCGTCGTCATGGGGAGAATCCGATGGCTACAAAAGCTTTGGTGAAGCAAATTGATAAGAACCTCCGAAACAAAATAAATGTGATCCGCAACAAGGGCGACTATAGTTACACCGAGGCGATGGAGATTTGGTACTCCACGCGATAAGAACTTTTTATTATAATCTATTTTTAGAATAGCTCTGTTTTGGTTTCTTTAGAAG